TGAAGAAGTTGATGATGACGAAGTGGAACCAGATATAGATATCAAGGCAGAACAGGAGAAAGGTCAAGATTTGAAACCAATAATTGATTTTTTAAAAGCAAGTGTTGTGTGCCCTGCTTGGGAGAAGGTGTCTAGTCTAAGCCCTGTGCCAAAGCACTATTGGGTGCAATGGGACCAATTAAAGCTTGCAGATGGTATTCTTGTACGGAGATGGGAAACTACCGATGGGAAAGTGACGACTTGGCAAACAGTTATACCGAGGAAGTTATGGGAAGTTGTGCTGCGTCAATCCCATGATAATTTAACAGGAGGACATCTCAGAATTAAGAAGACATTGAGTTACCTACGACAAAAATTTTACTGGATAGGTATGAGGCGAAATGTGGAAGAATGGTGCAGAACATGCAGTACATGTTGTGCTAAAAGGGGACCCAAGCATACGGGACACTCACCTTATGAAGAGTTGCCTGAGAGTGTGTCAGAGTTTGTGGAAGTGTTATCGGAAAGGATGGATTATATTCACCATCAAGTGCATTCAAAGTTGAAAACGTCTGCTGATTCGATGAAGTTAACTTATGATAAGAGATCTACTGAAGTCAGCTTTGTACCAGGAGACAAGGTATGGTTGTATAATCCCAGAAAGACCAAAAGGAAGTCTCCTAAGTTGTCTTCTCCATGGGAAGGCCCATATGACATAGTGGATCATCTCTCAGACATGAATTTCTGGGTAAAATGTGGTTGGCGACGTAAGCCAAAAGTGGTGCATGCCAACAGGCTTTGGCGTTATCACGGTCCAGAACATTTCAGTTGGGAAGAAGTGGACAACAGAACAAATGATGCTGCTGAAGACGTGCCACCTGAAGAAGCCACCACCGAAGAAGAAACTCTACTCAGTTTTGAGAAGGGAAACGGTGAAACTCTTGATGAAGTTACTACCACTGATGTGACTGTTACTGACGACAGGACATTTCCTGATGAAGTAGATGAACCCCACGTGAAGCAGAAGCCAACGAGACGGAGACCAGTACGGAAGAAGATACATCCCATAAAATTCAGAGACTTTGTTGAATTGTATTTTGTGATTGTAATTCTGTACATTTAAGTAAGTTATTGTTAATTGTTATTGGTTTATTGTATGTGGCTATTGTTTGGGATGAACAATACTAA